CCTCCAACCTCCAGCCATAAATGCATGTTTCTAAAACTCCAATAACTTATTCTGAAATCCAGCATTTGTATTTTGCCTCAGTCTGACCTCTTGGAAAAAGGATAACCTTTCACCAGCCATCAATGAACAAAACTATAGCTGTATTTCATTTCCAGCCAGCGAGCAAATCAACTAGAAGAACTAGTACAAAACATACATCTTCTTGAAAAGCATGCATATAATTCCCTGTTTGCATTTTTAAGGGCCTTAGTAGAAGACTTTTTCAAAAGAAAAATCCAACACTTTGTTTTAAATAGCATTTCTAATACAGGAATACTAACGTAATACTGTACCTTCACAAAAAGCAGTGGCTTGGTGATGATCTACAGGAGACAATTAGCAGAACTGAAGCATGGTAATCTTGATTGTTTTCAAGTGGGAGAAGGAAGAGATAAGCAATATAAATTGCAACTATTAAGTGACAAGTTATAGGACAGGGGTCAGAAACTAATGACAGATCCTGGAATACAGCAACATCCCTATCCTTGCTACATGGTGATGCTTTGGTTCAACAGTAAGGAGCTATAGTAATGCTATTCACAGGAAAGTAAGAAAACAGAGGAAGACCAGCAACTTTTAAACAATATCAAATTGTATTTGATTAGCAGTACAGGAATTTGCTTTCCACTTTGCATAAAGAAAATGTAATTGTATTTTATTTATTATCCCAGGAGATGTTACACTAAGAAACCAATATTGAGGAAGTAGAAACAGATTCAGAAAACACTCAGAGGGAATGTCACCGCTTAACAATAGCTATTACATTCAGAAATAAAAAAGATGAATTATACTGTCTGCCAAGGCTATAATTCCTTCTCTTCATTCAAAGCCCTTTTATAAAGTTGTAGTGTTTTGTCAGCAGAATGTTTATGATACAAAAGACAGTATACACACCCACACACACCCCAACACCCTTCTCCCAAATACAATAGAAAAGTAAACTTGTATAGTGCCTTTACACAGAGCATCTTAAGGCGCTAAAATTTTTTTACCGTTATGACAACCCAAACTTACTATGTCTTTGCTTTGGTTGACTTAAAGCAAACAGATTAAAGGTCTTACTTTAAATACCAAAGGCATCTGAAACAAGTCTAATGGTACCTTGGGTAACCACAGCAGCATCTAAGAACCCACCCACTGCATTCCCTAATAGCTACAATAACATTGAAGAAGTTCAAACAAATCATTCCCACTCACAGCTTTTCATTTTGCAACAGCAGAAGGTAAGATTTTAAGTCAGTCTTGAAGTGACTTTCTAGTCATATATTCTATAGCTTCTATTACAAATACAGAGACAGAAAAAGATACAGCAAGAGGGCCTGCCCTAGGATAGAATGTCATTGAACAATACATCAGAACAGTATTTACAATACAGTTACATGATTATAGAACATTTTATAAATACAATTTATATGTATACATGGGGGGCAAATACAAGACAAACCATGACTCAATTTTAATTCTTTACAAGTAAAAACATTTAATTTGAAAAAAGGCTGAGCTAAGATTTGATTACAGAATCTCACAGCTGCTCATTATTATTGTCCATTATCAGCATGAACTGGTCCCACAATAGGAATAAACTTATGTTACAATGCCCTGGAAGGTGTTAGAGCAGTGGTTTCCAACCTGTAGTTTGCAGACCCCTGGGGGTCCACAGTCTATATCTAAGGGGTTTGTGAAAGATGGCTATGATCAATCAAAAGTATATGAATACCCAGACCTATAATTCAAAGAGGTTCACACTTCCATTCAGATTTTTTTAGGGGTCTGCAAATGAAAATGTTGAAAACCACTGTGTTAGAGCAAACATTATGAAGGACTGAAATAGCCATACAGTAAACAAAAGATACTAAGGATCACAATGTGCCTCAGATCCATGTCTGGAGTTACACTGAAGTCAATGGGAGCTCCATACATGGGAGCAGAAGAGCATATTGGAGAGCTCTGCATCACAATGGCTTATGAGAATATTTTTGATTTTCCTAGAGCAGACTTTCTGTAGTGTACTTGGATATCCAGGAGAGAAATACATGTATCAATTACTGCAGCATCTAGACCACAAAGTTCAGAAAGTAGGAGCATCAGAAGTGTAATGCCAGGTAACAACAACAACAAAAAAGCTTAGAACCCTTCCTGGGTCCTCAAGACCCAACTCCCCTTTTATGTATCAGTAAGTATTCCAAAACAGCAGAATAATACTTATCTCAGTAACCTGCATACTAACTTAAAATCTCAGTTATTCAATTTAATAAAGTAATTCTCATTTTGCATTGTAGACCTTGATGGACTGGGAAAAGAGAAATGTGTTCCGATAATCATTAAAATGATATGGTTAATTAGACCAGACATTATCTTCTAGGAAAATTTTAGGAGTCAGCGAACAATGAAAAAAATCGACTGAATTGTTTTTAACCAGTAACTGCAAGTAGAGGACATCAAAATTGCCAGTTTTCAATGGAACACCTGTCACTATTATGAAGATTTTTTAAATAGTTTATTTTGAAAGAAAGCTTATATTTATGAGCATATAAAATGCTTGAGTATTTATACATTGCATCCACTTTACTACGTAAAAACTAAACATGATGAATATTAGAGTTGGTGAGATAGAACAGCTG